CGTAGGATAAAGAAATGATTCCATTTAATGTATGTGTAATAAATTCAAGCATTGGGAATTATGAAACGTATATGAGGAATTTCAGAATTTTTATCTTCCGAGAGTCTCCTAAGGGTGTGTATTTTAAATGAAGGTCTGGCATGAAAGCTGCTGATATAAATTGAGATTTTACAGTTTGTCAGGTTAAAGTTGTTTTTTTGTCAAGATATTACTATAACTGAAAAAATCTAAATTTTCAGGACAAAAAAAAATTCCTTAATTGGACATTAATAAGTCTGAGATAAAAAAAAATTTCAATTAATAGATAAACGGAGTCTGTCAGAATTATTAATTTTTGATAAATTATTTTAAACTAGCGTTTAACCAAAGCTTCTATGTTGTACCCAACAAATAAAAAACACGCGTCCTTACTACTAATGATGATATGAATTATACATACTAGTATGTACATATAAAACCATTATTGTAAATTTTAAATTTACTTCCAAAGTCTGAACAATGAAACTGGTTCTTTATTTTCAGTTTCTTGGGAAAAAAATGAATGCAATAATTGATATTGCATAATGGGTGAAGTTCGTGAAAATGATGGAAATGATGCTGTACTGCTTTACACAAGAACTGGAGGAGTGGATACAAGGAATATGAACAGCTCTTGAAAAGGGGGGGGGGGGGGGGTTAGAGGTTAACTTTTTCTCGGTGTCAAATACTTTTAGTACCAATTCTAATACTACATTTCCGGTGCATCACTATAACTTTAAAAGTGGAGGGGCCAACCAGGCTTTCAATTAACATTACTCCATACAATGTGTGGGTCATTGCAAACAATCTAGCTATTTATGTGAGGTGCCTGAAGGAAATCCTACAACTGCCTATTTTTTCTATCTAACTGCTAAACAAAATAGACATATGTACCAACTTTTCGAATGTAAGACATGTAATTACAATTTGATTTTCATGCACCGCATATTGTTTAACATTTTCAAATTAAATGCTAAGCATCCTCCTTGCAGTGCCCCATTTGAAAATAACTTCTATCGCCACAGAAAAAAGACCCGACGTAAACACATACGTTTAGGAATTTTTGAATCTTTTTTCTTGAGTTTTAAAGAAACCAACAAATTATCAAGACTTGTTCCATGAAAAATTAAACATAATCATGGTAATAAACGCATCTATCCACAGCAGATATTTGCATATGCCAACCACGTGCTCAGTGGAATGATATTAACAAGGAAATTCGAGCTGTGAACAAAACAGTTTTTCCCGATTTGCTGGAGTGGGGTTAAAATTGCGTTTTTTCATTAATCAGACGATGCGATGCAACAAATAAAAGTAGCAAGTAATATAACCTAATGATTATTACTTAGTAATTTCTTGTCTTGATGTTATTATGGTCGCATTTATTCTAAAATCAATGTTATTCGAACTCTGTGTGACAGAGGAATGGCGGACGAAATAAACACATGGCCTCAGGAAGACAACCATATGAAAAATCAAATTTTCAAGAATTATGGATAATGACAAGAAAAAAGCGAAACAAATGGTTGTAGCCATATTATCAATGAATCAAACTAACACCATTTTCAATGCATTTTTCATCTCGTGAATGCTGTAGCTGCGCAGATCTAACATGATTAATTTCCTTCTAATTAAAACAAAATAAACTTAATTATTTACTAATTTTGGTCTCTAACAGTGGGAAATTAGTGCATTAGCACTTTGAGTAACTTTGGGCTAGTTTAGTAGAGTATTAAGCGTATTCTTGGTATTTCTTATTTTATACCAAACGAGATCCAATATGGCTTGTACATCCCCCTTAATGTTTTGACATACATATATGTAAACATTGATGATTATGAAGAGTCAAACAAAAATTGAACGACAGTTTGTTTAAAAAATATTATATTCGACATACATTAAAGATATAATGCACTTCAAAGGAGAAAAATTATGTTTGGGTGTTTGTCAACAAAAACATTCAGATTGGTTCTTCACACATTAAACTTTTATAATAATGAAAAAAGCATTTAGGTCGCAAAGTGAATATGCATGCATTTTTTTAAAAAATGAAATACATGGACAGAATACCATGGACATGAGAAAGATTGTCCTAGCAGACATAAATCTGTAAAATACTGAGTACTTCAAAGATAATATTCTCATCAATGAAACGGCATATAAACCGAGGTCCCGTGTCGCAGTAGGTGTTGGCACAAAACAGATCCCTCACTGCTCAACGGCATTAAGTGCTGAGTATAGGTCAAACTTTGCATCTGTCCACCGCAGCAATTGATGGCGACTCCATATCAGAGATAGTAGAAGAGCACCAACCAGTTTCAGGGGACCTTGGTTCAAATCCCGGTCTGGATCGGTCGGACCGCTGCATTTTCTCCTCTCTCGTTACAACTAAAATATTTTTTTTAAATTTCTAACTGAGTAGCAGCATACCTTTGCATGTCAGATTTAAAGACTATTCACTAAATAATTTTAAAATGATTTAAAAATGATTTAAAAACGATCCTAAATGAAATCAAACTTTGAAGCCATCCAAAAATTAAGTACCGCAAAAGGTGAGAATAGCAGGTAATTGGTCACTAATTACTGTTTATAAACAGCCAAAGGCGATAACGTGTGTTTTACAGATGTAGGATACGACTCTTAATTATCGTATGTACAAAAGTTTTTTTGATGATTATATGTAGGCTACTTTGGAATAAGAAAATAATATATACATCCGAGCAACTGAGTGCTAGTTTACGTATTCGATACTCGGACGTTCGATCGAGTACCCTGTTAACCGGGTACTCGTTGGTTGACATCCCTAAAATGAAGTAAATCGATTTCTATTAAATCGAATGAAATGAAACTTTACACATCAACAAAACAATCAGGATTATTTGATTTTATATCAAATAGACAGTATTAAGTTTGGGACACCCTGTATTGATGGTTTAAACTATATACGAGTTTTCTCCCAAGCTTAAACTAAGTACGAATTATTTTGAACTCTATATACGGTATACCCTGCTGAAAACGAGCTAGCTATGATGTCAAAGCCTAACTCCACTTCTTTACTTTAATTAAAGTAAAATAATTCTATAAAATGCTGATTTGGTGTATTTTGTCTATTTATTTGTCCCTATATCAGCTATTGAATTCCTTCTTACAATTAATTACCAATTTTGAACGATCCCTGATTGCTGATTGGGAAGGTCCTCTTTTTCACATAATTTTAATTCTTTTTGACGTAGAACTGGAGATCAACAAAAATAAATGAAAATTCTCAAGGATAGTTAAATGAAATTGGCCATTTACAACGTTTGCAAAAACAAATTATAATATTTTTTTTAAAACAATCGACCTGATATTTTTATATTTCAAATGTTTTTGCGATTATCACTTCGATGTAAATCTTTAATCGGTAATCAGTGTCTTCAATGTCTTTGACGTAGGATAAAGAAATGATTCCATTTAATGTATGTGTAATAAATTCAAGCATTGGGGATTATGAAACGTATATGAGGAATTTCAGAATTTTTATCTTCCGAGAGTCTCCTAAGGGTGTGTATTTTAAATGAAGGTCTGGCATGAAAGCTGCTGATATAAATTGAGATTTTACAGTTTGTCAGGTTAAAGTTGTTTTTTTGTCAAGATATTACTATAACTGAAAAAATCTAAATTTTCAGGACAAAAAAAAATTCCTTAATTGGACATTAATAAGTCTGAGATAAAAAAAAATTTCAATTAATAGATAAACGGAGTCTGTCAGAATTATTAATTTTTGATAAATTATTTTAAACTAGCGTTTAACCAAAGCTTCTATGTTGTACCCAACAAATAAAAAACACGCGTCCTTACTACTAATGATGATATGAATTATACATACTAGTATGTACATATAAAACCATTATTGTAAATTTTAAATTTACTTCCAAAGTCTGAACAATGAAACTGGTTCTTTATTTTCAGTTTCTTGGGAAAAAAATGAATGCAATAATTGATATTGCATAATGGGTGAAGTTCGTGAAAATGATGGAAATGATGCTGTACTGCTTTACACAAGAACTGGAGGAGTGGATACAAGGAATATGAACAGCTCTTGAAAATAATGTCTCATCCTATATTAAAGACAGTTTAAGTAGGAACCCAGGTAGCACAAAACGTTTTCATAACATTATATTCGGGTTGTAAGGATGTTATTCCAAAACGTTTTTGACATAACGTTTGAAAAATGTTTTTATAACGTTTTATCTAGGTTATAATGACGATTTTAGAAAACGTTTCTCAAAAACATTTTTAAAATGTTTTTCATAACGTTTGATACTGGTTGGACGGAAGTTTTTTAAAAACATTTTTGTATAACATTTTTACATGTAATGATATTAAAAATAATTTTTATTACTTAAAAAGCATAGTAAAAAGTGTTTTCACATTCCATTGTTTGGGGGTAAAATATTCTTAAAAACTACAGTATGAGATTAAGAATATATTGCACAGTATGTGGTGTATTGTGTCACGTTTACTCAAATTTAAAAAAAAATTAAATTGAATTAAAATTGTAATTAATTCTAGGTACAAATGTTACCAGAAAACCTGAATATAACATTGTTTTAAAATGTTTGGAAAACATTGTTAAAACTTATAGAAACAACAAACATCTATATAATTCAATTCTTAAAAAATACATTTACTGATTTAGCATATACTTTTTTGTTTGTTTGTTATTGATTACTAGGGGATGTCTTTTAAAGCATATTGGGGGGGGGGGGGGTGGAAAAAAAAATTTCTTTAAATTCAGTTCTTCTTTAATTGTTTTATGCCACATTCCTAAAACATTGTGAAAAAATGTATTAAAAGCCGTTTTTAATGTATTTTTCTAAGATGTGATGTTGTTCAACACAGTAAGGCAGTGCATTTTATTCACTTGTGTTGTTTCCTCCTTGATAATGAGTTTATCAAAAGTTAATTGAGTCGCACAGCGGGATGCCGTGGTTAGCGCTCGCTCCTTGCTGCAAACTATTTCCACGTGATCTATATATGTCAACTTATCAAGATTTTGAAAAACCGGGCAGCATTCTTGAAAGACAAAGAACAGGATTAAGGTAATATTTTACATCATCGTATGGTATGTTGAATTTAAAGTAGTATTCAATATGTATACATATATTAAGAAATTGTATTATAGTAGTAAGTGTATGTATAAACCTAAATCATTCCTTGTAAATGGTTGAACATTTCACTGATATTTGAACTGGGCGGGTAATTTGTTGTTTTTGAAGTAAACTCATCATCTAAGTTTATCATGATTGTGCATTTACATAAATGTTTTATGACTTGTGTCTAGTGTGAGTTTTCTTAATTAATGTGTACTTCATGTGTAGTATAATAACCCCAGGCTAAGAGATAGATTTTAAAATTGAGAGCTTCAAAACATGATTTGAATAGATCGAGTATGTTTGCGAGGGGGAGTGTGTGTAAGTGTGTGTGTGTGGGGGGGGGGGGGGGCTTAGCAAGTTAAATACTTCTTTGAAAATGTTAAATGATTTGTATTTATATTCAGTATCATGTATATATTCACAATTTACAATTCTTGGAAATAAATATCATATTTCATTTACAGCGGCTGTTTGCAAAGACTAAATATACCTTTTTAAAGATCACATGTAGTGAGAGGAATTTGACATAATAAGGTTTGCTTAGGCATACCATGCTGGAGGGATTTACCAGGGTATTTATTCTTTAAGGTATGTTTGAAGTTTCCTGACAAGAATGTATTACGGAGATAGATTTATTTAGTATACAATGTATATTTTATAGAACTTTTGCCCAAAACACACTGTTGTCAAAAAAACAACAACAAAGTTAATTTTTTTTTATAAATAATTTTAGAAAGACTTTCCTTGTATTTATCGGATGTATGACTATATATAGTTTTAATTCTTCTAATGCATGGATATACATGCATACATGTATTTTACAGAAATGATTTGCGAGAATGATCATTCATTTTGTTAATTAAAGTTTTTTCTCTAAATCTTTGTTTTTCAGAAGAATTAAAACAAAGAAGTCCAAGTGATCCAAATGCCAAAAGTGCCAAACATGATTTTCAAAGGAAGAAGGATATTGTGATTTTTTTTTTTTTAATTTCAATTGTGACAAATTTTTTCTGTTAAGAAGACTTTTATTGACTGTGCGGATGTTTACAACAGTTCATGGATTATATTTGTGTAAAAAATTTAAACTAATTAAAACTGTAGGAAGTACAATGATTTTTATGTTGTAAAATATTTTTAAACGATTTAAAACATATAAGAAATGTTCTGAAAACGTTTTTAAAAACGTTTTGAAAACGTTTTCAAAAATGTTTTCCAAAACATTGCAGGACAATGTTTTTGAAAAACGTTATGATAACGTTAAAAAAACCATACAAAATAACGTTGTAATAACGTTTTAGAAAATGTTTTTATAACGTTTTAATAACGTTGTTGTGTTACCTGGGAAATGTCTGTCATTACCTTCTCCTTGTATCACCAGACCAACTCTGGATCAGTGATGGCTATAATCTCGTCTTAACAGACACCGGTGGTGCTATTTCTTATCACCTGAAAGATATATTTCAGGAAAGCTATTAAGGACGCTCTAAACACTGCATACTAAAGAGCTCAATTTCTTGGGTAGTTTTTTTGCAGTTAGAGTGATCTGCCCTTAGATGTAAGATTAAAGAAATTGTTATTTACCGTTAATTACATAACTTATAATGATTAAAATATTTTTAGCATTATATAAGACCAAGAGTATGAAATTTAATTAATTATTTTCATTAATTTTCCCAATGTTAGCACATGTGTACTACAACAGAGATTTCTGCTTACAAATAGTCCATTGTCTTTGAACATTTTTCCTGTGCAAATAAGGCATGTACCCTATGTTCTAAATGAATGAAAAAGTCTCAATATGCATATCTTCATATGATATATTTTTCCCCGAGTCCCAAAAAAAAAAGAAAAAAAATAACAGTTTCTGTTAGTGTTTAGAGCTTCCTTAAGTACACATGGCGGGCAGTGATGGGGCACTTTTTTTTTTACATAAGTAAGGACTTTCATATCAACAAATTGAGCAAGGACCAACAAGAAAAGCATAAATAAAACTAGAAAAAAAACTTTGGAACCTACGTCTATCCTCTGTTCATCGGCTTACCTACAGAGGGCATTCGGAACCACAGATTTCGCTACTTGGAAACTGCACAGACACTCTGATAAACCTCCTGGTCTGTGATATAAAGACAAACTCAGTACATATGTTCGACACGAACGGCCACTTCTTGTCGTATCTACTGAGGGAAGTGGAGAGCACGGTTGAACCGCACACTCTCAGTTAACACTAGAGAAACAACATTCTTTGGATCGGATCAAACAACAGCACGGCATGTGTGTTTACAAATATATAAACAGTCGGCAGCAACTAGCAGGTGATTTTAGATATGTGATACAATTTAGGGAAATATTCTAAAATATATTTTTACTTTTAATTCTGATAATTTAGTTATAAAAGGATAATTGATAGGTGATTTATTTTGCATAGCATCTTTTCAGTACTGCACTAGTACACAAATCACTCCGTGTCCAGATCTTACTATTTTGATGTCTTATCCTTAAATACCATACATAGGAGGTAGCTTTAAAAAAAACAACGCAATTCAGGTACAAAAGAATCAACAACATTTTGTATATTTCAGCTGTCATTGTTTCTTTAAAATACATGGTGTATATAATGTATGATGTTTGCAGCAAAATGGCACATTTTTTTAAATAGTGTATTTATTGAAACACTGATATAACTTTTTACGTTTATACACGTACCACGCTATTAAGAGCGTTTTAGCCAAATACGTATTTGAGGTCAACTATTCATTTGAGCTTAAATATAACACTGCAAAAGATAAGCTTTTAGTCTTGAAACCTTTTATATTGAATTTTTAGGATGATAGAGTCAAATTGTCAAAGGATCTTCCAAGAATGATAGAAAAGAGGATAAAAGTAGAACTTATATGTATCTACTCGGAACTATGTCCATCCTTTTTTTTTTGGTACTTTGATCTTGAGGTAGATTTTGATAAAATTAAACAAATTAAAATGACGCTGTTTCAATTATAATAATGCTAATAGTCACTCGGCAGATTAAGCTTTAGAAGAAATCATTTTTTATATACTTTTAAAACCGACAATGGGACGATATTATTTCCTACCGCCCTTGAAAGTACACAAAGAGTTCCCGCAGGAATTGAACAATTTTAGATGGAGAGTCTGGCAATATAAATTCATTGAAAAGCCCCCCTTCCCCTTTTAAACCGAGATCCACATGTCATTCAGTCAGATTTCAGTAAACTGAAGGGCAGAGTTTTTTCCCGTGTTGGAAGAAACGCCATTGCTCATCATATCCATGCACTTAATTTTTTTATACCCCCGCTGGAAAAGTGGGAGGGTATATAGTAATCGGTATGTCCGTCCGTCCGTCCATCCATCCATCCATCCATCCGTCTGTCTGTAACGCTTTGGGGTACCCATCTCTTATCCGCAACTCCTCTTATACCACTGAGTGAAATTTAATGAAACTTTCACAGACCCTCTACTACATTTTGCCATTGTGCACGTTCTTTTTTACTTTTTGATCCGACACGTATTTTAGGTTTCCCATAGCAAAACATGGGCATTGCCATTATTCTTTTTATTTTATTCTTACCTATGACGTGCGATATGGCGGCTTCTGAATATATTAGATACCACGAGTTATTCCTCTTAACACGTTACCGTAAAACAATATATAACAAACGATGGACATTATGGGAGGCGGGAGGGGGTATCACTAAGTGAGTTCATTGCTCACAGTACCTTTAGTTTTTGTTTAATACTCAGTAGCAGAGAATATTTTCAAATTATTAATGCATTTTCACTATATAACCAGGAAGCCCAACGCTTACACCAAAACCTCTGGACATGGACCACTAAAATTTCACTTTTGGAAGGAGTGCCCTTCGTCATTAAAACTATGCAAACAGTTTGATTAATACATGTATTTATGAACAAAGGAGAGGGTTTTCAAATGTTTAATGATTATTAGTGTACATAACATGTATGTTTAAGAAAACCCAACCCTAACATCAGAATCCTTAAACATGGGGCCATGAATTTCACAATCTTTATAGTGTCTTTATACCTCCTAAATCACTGAAGAAAAATCATGATACTTTCAAAGATTCTTTAATATATAATGCCATTGTTTCGGGACTTCAATAGAACAACATATACTTTGCCATTATTACCATATGTGAGGCGGGGGTTTCATTTATATCCAGTTATTCTCCCGCTTGAAATGTAGGAAGGTATATAGTGATCGGGATGTCCGTCTTTACGTCCGTCCGTCGGTTACGCTGTGGGGTTCCCATATTTTACCTACAACTCTCCTTATACTACTGAATAATTTGATGAGACTTTTACAAAATCTTTGTTACAAAATATCATTGTGCACCTTTTATTTTATTTTTTGATCTGACAAATATTTCGGGTTTCCCATAGCAAAGCATGGATACTACCATTCTTTTTATGATATTGAAGATTACCAATCTCATCTGCAATTCCTCATTTACCATTGAACAAAATTTAATAATAATTTCACAGATTTTTTTTACATAATTCCATTGTGACCTCGTATTTTACTTTTTGATACTGATACTTACTTCGAGTCTTCCGGAACAAAACATGGACTTTGTCATTTTAATGGTATAGGTGGCGGAGGATTCATTTAGTAACCACAAAGCTCAAAGTACCTCTAGTTTTGATTTAACACAACCCATGGCATTATATCAAATAATTGATTAGCTTAAGACTGAGAGACAGTAATAGGCAATCAATTATCCTCGGTTTGGTGAATTTTTTTGAACAACGAATAAATATTAATGTTTTCCGAAACATATTCATAAATTATTAAATCTTTTAAATTGCATTCTGGAGCGGAGAACGTGTAGATGTAGATGTTTATTCAGTAGAAAACGTTACGTTCCTCATTTTCTTTGATGACCTAAGTTGTTTGAGAAAATTCAATGCATCACATTACACCTAATATGAAACTTTGGATATTTTTATTATGGATATCACATATATTAGGTACGTATTTTGTCACAATAAGCAAAATTCGTTTTCACAACACATTTTTGGGGATACTTACCGTTAGTCCATTATTATACCTAAACTAACGACGGATTTTTCCGTTATTTCCCGATCATGACAAGGAGCACATAGCGGGTGTGACCGATCAGCATGGGATGCTCACTCCTCCCTTGCACCTGCTCCATACCCTGATGCTTTGGAGGTTCGTGTTTGCTCTGCTCGTATTTTGTATTGTTTTATGGACTTCGATGATGAATACTGTTCGTTATCTCCATATCTTTAATTGAAGGGTATTCATCTTTTATCTGCAACTCCTATACCACTGAATAAAATTTGATAGTGCTTTTACTTATTCTTTATTTCATAATTTTATTGTGCACTTCTGTTGTCACTTTTTGACATTTTTTTCCGGTCTCCCATTTCAGAACATAGCTTTGCCATAATATGTAATCATATGAGAGGCAGAGAAGGGGGAAGGGGGACATTAAGTAAGCTCAGTATACATAGTACATCTAGTTATACCCCAGCTTGAAAAGTGAGATGGTATATAACGATCTAGATGTCCATCCGTCTTTATGCTTTTTGGTACCCATCTCTTATCCGCAAGTCATCATGCCCCTGAATGAATTTTAATGAGGCATTCAAAGATTTTTTGTTACATAGTGCCATGTGACCTCTTATTTTACTTTTTGATCGCCCACGTATTTCGGGTTTCCCAGAGCAAATTAAATATTGATACTGCCATTTCTTCTATAATATTAAAGGCTACACATCTCTTATCCACATCTCCTCCTATACCAATGAATAAAATTTCAGGATATTTTTAAAGATGCTTTATACATTATGCCATTGTGCATCTTTTATTTTACTTTTTGATCGGACTCTTTTTGGGCTCTTTTTTGCCATTATATACATGTATAATTATACACAAGCTCAGTGCGCATTGTACCTAGTTTTTTTTTATTTTGAAGGAACTATGCAAAGCAACCTAGGAAGTACTTATTTTGTAATAAACATCCGCTACAAAGACTTTTTACCAACATCTGGGCTGATATCTATGGAAGGTCAATGGACCCTTAGCGCATGTGGAGTCCTGTGCGCCTCAGACGAGTTTTGTCAAACTTTTTTCTTTAAAACACAGGAAAAGAAATGTTTCCTTTATAAGTATTCCATCTGGCAGCATACTGAACTTAAACAAGAAATCGGTGTTGACATGTATGAGATTACCTGTAAGTTTCCTTCCAAAAAAGTAACCAATAGAATACTATAACTCATCAATTAATATTTTAATATTATAAGAAAACACTCTTTTTCTGGCACATGTAATTTTACAGATTTGGCAAAAGGAGGTATTTATTCGTAAAATTCTTTCGTTCATCAATAATGTTTGGGAATTTTAAACTCTTCTTACAAACCATTCTAATGAACTTCAAAATCTTATTCCACTTTTCAGCACCATGTACTGGTTTTGGTTTCGTACACAATAGGGCAGGTGGTCTCTGTTTCCAAGTTTTTGAGACTGAAAACAATACGTCTACCTGGGCAATGGCGTCGTGTAAACAGTTTGGCGGATCATTGATTTCTTTAGATACAGATCAGAAAATAGGATTTGTGACTACTTTTATACGTAATCATTGTGAGTAAAGAGATTTTTTTCTTTTAAAAAGCATGTAGCTCGGAAGTAAACCAGAAATTTGCTCTACAGGACCTTTAACTAAATACACGTATGTTCCCACCGAAGGTTGAAATCTTAATTTTTTAACTTTACGTGACCAGCAATTTTATTGTTAAAATAGTTGAATTTAGAACTGGTTGTTTTGCAATGCTCGAGTTATAAAATGTAATTTTGTCCAATCTCATCATTTTGTATGCTGAAAAATGACCGTGTGTCAATCTTCCAAAGAGGGTTCAATATTTTGTTAAAAAAATATTTTTTGACTGTATGATTGAATACTCAGTAATTCTTAGACCTCATATACATGTATTGGTGAAAAGTAAACTTACGTTATGTTCACCTGGGTGTGACCTTCCAGGTGATCGAACATGAAGATTTATGTTCTCTACATTGGACTTGAAATATATTAAGAAATTATACATCCATATTGATAAATGATATTAACATAAAATATTCCCATTTCCATTCCGGTCATTTGACATTCAGGTACATAGAATTTTAGGAGGGCATGAAGGGAATCTGCCGACCTCATCTCGCTCTTTTCTAATGTAAATATTTACTATTAATTTTATATAACAATGTTTGGCTGGTTTGCTTTTGTCACCAAAGTTTTGAGTTGCAGATTCTCCTAATTGTTGGGGGGGGGGGAGGGGGGCTAGTCAAGGATTTTTTTTTCAGGTAAGTTGTCAAATTCCGCTATTATGCCCCATTTCCCCTATTCTTTAAAAACCTATCCTACCAGTCTGACTTTTTCTAGGCCTTACCTTAAATAGATTTAGTTTTAAAAATTCTAATTAATGCAACTACATATGTTTAACTTGTTTCAGTTGATGATTGAATCATATAGTAATACAACAATTTATTTCAGTTAACACGATGAATTAGCCACCTTCAAAGTATAATATTTACCTCGCCCTTCGGGCTCGGTGAATATTGTCCTCTTCAGGTGGCTAGATCATTGTATTGACTTTAAAAAAAGCCATCATTAATGATACAAAAAAAAAGAATAACAAAGGACAAGATAGGGTAAGACCTCTTTTTGGAACCTGCTTTGGGGTGTCTTTTAGAATGATGCAACAACTTATAAATTGAAAACTTTTTATCACCCCTGCCACAAAATAATGATTGGTTCTATGTTATGGGATATACAGCAGTCAAAGGAAGGTGAGAAAATATGTCAAATTTTCTCAATTTCTATTCTTGCAAATTTTAATCAATTTAACGGTACAATTCCTTTCCGAAAACATAGAACACAAACTAGCCAATCTACTAAATATTTCCAGTTCATACAATAGTATCAGAAGCATATTGTATGTAAAAATCTCAAATAGACAAGTATATGCCCTATGTTTTCCGAAGTGGGTGATATCTCTTTGACGAAATTCCATCAGGACTGAGAAAACGTCTTAATTCTTCACTCTCTTGACGCCTCCGTATAGGCTTTGAATAAAAAATAGAGCTAGTTTTATAACAAGGATCAATTTAAGATTTTAAGTACACACCATCAGATTTTTTTCTGTGTTCTGATAGCATCAAACAAGGAACTAGGTTCAGCGATTACCATACCTTGTTCTTTAATAAACTTACGGGAGGGGGAGCCGAATTTGAACTTAACAGGGAAAGAAATAAAATAGAAAGAACTCGATCTTTTTCCTTACCTTTCAGTTTTTGTCAAAGGATACACTGTTTACATTAAAAAATACATATGCTTCTTCATTTTCAAAGATGACTACTCGAGCTCTCCAGGAAGAATGTTCCAGATAGGACTTAACAATACCCAAGGACCAGACAAATACACATGGAAGTGGTCGAATGGAGTTAAATTATCACTAAATCTTTCCATTCCAATTAAAGTAAATAATTATGATGGCTTCATGGTTCCTTGTGAAGTTGGACATTGTGGGGTGCTGAATGTTGGAAAACTCACCAATTCCGTGTTTGATAACTGTTGTCTTAAAGTTTCATTTCTCTACATATGTTCAAAAGACATTGAGAAATGAAGTGATCCTCTTTGAAGTATATATATATATAAGGCAACACTTACTCTAACGTCATATGATGTCGTGTGTAGGATGCATTAATTTACCAAACCAAGTCTAGACAGCGCTGATTTTAATGGAGAAGATTTTATTTACTATTTGTCTGCAATATATCCATTAAATCAAGTTTTAAATTTTGTTGTTATTCTCGCGAGAACTAGCAACAAGCAATGAATTGTGGCTCTAGAATGATTGAATGAATGTGCAGTAGTCCGAATTTTCTCAGCGCCCAGGCGTCGTTATAGCTTGCCGCGCCGTTCGCTATGAATTAAAAGTCTAACATTTCTACTGAGCAGACATAAAAACATTGATGTTTGACCGCTGAGTGAAATGTTGGATCTGTCGATGAGATGTTGGACCGCTTACGCAACACGATGGGCAGAGCTTAATCTCATTTGCATTTGTTGGTGTTCAGACTATACAAGATACATTTATGTCAAAAAATATTAAAATGAAAGGAATAACAAAACATTTAATAACTGAGTTTGAGTGCAACATGCGTTTTGTTGACTCAAGAACCAAACGGCCTCAGACAAACTGTTTGATTCATGGGTCCGACAAAACGTATGTTGCCCTCAAACTCAGTTAATAAATGTATAATGTATTCCCGCCGTAGCATCAGAATCACTGACCCTAAGACCATGAATTTCACAATTTGGTTGAGGATTCAATGCTTATTATAATCATGAGAACACTTCAGCAGTTTGATGTACAGAAGTAGAGCGTAGGACTCAGGGGACATTAAAAAATAAATTTTAAAAAAAGAGAATATTCAAAGTGTAAAGCAATAACTGGTATAGCTTTTAAAATTTAAAAATGTTAATTGAATCACAATTAAAGCAGCATAATTAAAGAGAGTAAGGTTCCTGAAGATCAAATACGAATAGATGAAAGGAAAACAAAATTAATAAGTAGATGGTTTCCAGCTTAACTTAATTGCTCACAACGTAAATGGAACGAAAATGTCCCATGATATAGACTTTTATCTTTGAATTTTTTGCGATAAAATTCACTTACAAAACAATTTCATGCATATATCCATGAAAAATTAGCAATATATATATATATATATATATATATATATATATATATATATATATATATATATATATATATATATATATATATATATATATATATTTAAGAAATAAACAACGTTATTCAGTGAACATGGCGTTATGAATAGCAATTGCTCTGCTGGCATATTCCATGATGCGCGCTAGCGCATCATGGAAAATATGCCAGCAGAGCTATTGCTATTCATAATGCCATGTTCACTGAATAATCGTTGTTTATTACTTATATTTGCATTCTTTGATTTTTTTTTCAAGAATATCAGAGGAAATCCTGTCTTACATAAGGACGCAGCTTCTTGTCTTCAGTAAAGAAAAACATACGGCTTTAAAATCAGTAAACCTGATTAATGCTCCTTTTCTCTAATAAATCACAAACATGTTTATAAAGTATTTCCCTTTCAAACACAGTTATCTGGATACAAGCAGCGCCGTCATCACATTTTTGTTTTGTTGCAGTTGTGACGTCATCGATCAACGTTATTTAAACCCTCTGACGAAAATCAATAATTTAAACACTATGATGAAAAAAGAGAATGCTTTGATAATGATTATTACTCTAGAATGCTTTTCTATAATTTTTTTTAAAGTTTTTTTTATTTATTTTAAATAGCTGAAATCATTCTTGAAATAGATATACTAGTTAAAGATTTTTTTTCTTTCTGAATGTTATTACCCAAGTGTGAAGAGTTATCGTTCTTTGTTCAAATATGCATGATACAAAAAATAAAAACATGGTAGTTCTCTATAATTTTTAAAAAGTTTTATTTTACAATTTAATACATTGACCAAAATTGAAATTTTTAAATATATAAATCAGCAATTTTAGATATTCTGAATTTCTTTTTTTTCAAAGAATATTATTAAAAACTTATTTTTATTCCTCTTATGAAACATTTCGTATATATACTTCTCAAAACATTATATAAGTGGAGTAGAGATTGTTCTACACGATTGTGATAGAGCAATTGCACTCATAGTGGAAGCAATTGCGTCTATACTGCTATGAATGCAATTGATGTCTACATGTTCATTGTGGGAGAGTGCAGTAGATATGCAAATATATATATATATATATTTCACAATTTCGTTTACACTTGATATCAACAACACGTAGGACTAAGCATCGCCTGTCAACAGATCACACCTGCTGTGTGTTCCTTGTTATGATCGATATGTTGATATTCTCCTATCGCACACACCTCATTCCACTTCTATGTTTTTAGAGGCCTGTGCTTGCTTTTTCTCCGATTTTTGTTGCTTCAATTATTTTTTAATACTGTTTGCAATCTCTTCGTTTCATTTAAGGTTTCGTCATTTGAATGTCAACATGTCTAAAAAATTATTTTTACAATAGCTCCATAACTATGTGTGGTATAAAGTCAAAACGTTTACAGTTTATAAATATATCATTGATTAATAGATAGAAAGTATCACTTGATAAGAAATATTTTTATTTAAAAAGATATTTTTTAAGAAAAATTAAATCAGAAAATGTGCATATTTAAAGAAAAATGCACCTGCTTAATTCTGTCCTTTTTGTGAACCATCATTTCAGATATAATATATGTTGATCATATTGAAGGGCAAGTTGGACGTGAATGGTCTCTGAGAGGCTGTTAATTAAAGCATGACATGTATAAAGACAAGACCCCTATAGAATCCGCCATTTGCAATGTACTTTCACTTTCAAGTCTTAACATTTGGACAAAATAAACAGGGAAAACAACTTTCAAGAGGCTATCCCAGTCCAATTTGCCCTTCATTGATAAACATATTTTGTTTCTGCAATAATGGTTTTCACTAAGATCACAGAATTAATTAGGTGTATTTTTTGAAAATATATGCTTTTTTAAGAAGAATTCTTCTCAATTAATATGTTTTCCAAGTATTTTATTATCAAGTGATACTTTCTATTTGTTAGTCAATGAAAAATTTATAAACTGTAAAAGGTTTAACTTTATACCTCACATTGTTTTGGGGCTATTGTAAAAATAAATTTTTGGACATATTGACCTTTTACGAAACCTTGAGGAAGATACAAAAATCTGATGGTCTAACCGCGTTTCGATGTTGTGTACCTTGTCCTAGTTCCGTATCTGAATATTAGAACATTTGTGTTTTGTATTCCTTAATTCTTTAAGTTTTAGATTTATCAAACCAATTATTGAATGTTTTTGGCAAAAGATCAAAGAAGATTCACTAAATTTTATTTGGATAAATTCCCAAAAGATTGTCTTAAAGGAAGAAACATCATGAAATCCGCCCCAATGCACTTACAGACAATACAAGTGCATGTCCTTTAGAACTCTCTTATTTGATGTCAATATATAGATCGTACCACTGATATAGTATATATGATGATTCCCATCATATATGTGAGTTTCTATAGGTTCACATAACTAAAGTGAACAAATGTAAGACAATTTGGTAGGACTACTTCTGGTCGCATTTCAATACAGACCCAAGAGAGTCCTCAAATTTGTCTTATATATAGATAAAAACTGTGATAAGTTCTCAAAGAAGAGATCATTATGAAACAGATTGGATTGTTATGTTTGACAGTTTTAACTGTCATTGTTACTGGTGCAAAGCATGCTAACATATATATTTCCATTGTGAAAGAATCCCAGCTGAAGCTTAAATTTACAGGTAAGTCTTGATGATCAGTTCAATGTTTATAACATTGATATGTATATCACGCAGGACTTTCTTGAATTTTATTCACTTGTTATCGTAAATTAGTTTCACGTGACAAAATATTTCTTAATTTTTAAAAGTATTTTAAGATAAGTGTACATAAATATTTAAGGAAGTTCTAATAACTTAGAGATTGATTATTTGTGTTTTGATAAAGTGTCTTCTGTGGAAATAATTTCAAACCAGTTTGACTGTAAGAGCAGTATAAGAATGATAAATCAAATTGATTTAGGGAATGAAGACATTTCCTTTGTCAGTATTCGCACAAAACAGCAAGGGAAAAAAGAGAGAATATACAATCTGAAGTCTTCAAAGGGTATGATTTTCTTCAAATTGAAAATAAATGGGTAAAATTTATGCTTCTTTGCTCAAACTGATAAAAAATGGTTAAAATTCAAAATTCTAAGCGTTATCTATTCTAAATATTCAAGAACATACTTGAATTTAAATCTTGGTATTCTTCTAACTGTATGAATGTAGATGACGGAGTGTGGGAGCATGTTGATTCTGAAGCCAATGTTAAAGTGGGGGACATCATCCACTACCAGATTGCCATTAAAAGGAAAAATGTCCTAAAACAATTGAAATGGAAATCAGGTACACTTTTGCTAACTTAAGATATAAAGATGAATTTTACATGCCTTTTGACTAGTGTGATCATCAACCAAGAACACAACTTCGTTAATGTATAGAGTTACAAACATTGCATACTAGTTTCTTTTACTAACAAGTTTCTTGGCAATTGAAAATTGTTAATTAGTGAAAGACACTATAATTTTCTGCTATATGTAATGTTCATCTTTAACCTCTCCAAAAATAAGAATTTATACGAAGAATACTTAAAATGCTTTTAAGTAAATTTACTTTCTATATACAATATTTATTTAACTGCCTGGCATAGTGAGTCTGTTACCTGAGAACGCCATAGCTCCAGTTAGAAGTCTTCGTAAGGTCACCGTATTTCGAGACGATTTTAACACCTTTGATAGAAGCCACTACAAGATAGAAATAACGGCTGCTGGTGGTGGGGTAAGTATACACAAATCTGGAAATCATTCACTTATGCTTATACTTATACTGAGAAGCTTTATTTCATATCAATTTCACATGGTCTAAAAATAGCCAAGACCACACCATCGAACTCTAATGCCACTTTACGTAATTGTGGAATGTTTTGTCTAAATCAATTTTCAATCTCTTTGGAGTTATGACATTGGTTTTACCTAAACCGTTGCGTAACGACTCCCCACACGAGGGACTTCTGGGAGAAATACAGTGTACATGTAAAATGATTTTATTAACTTTCAGAATGGAGAATTCCAAGTTTACACCCCAGAACAGAGCAACATATATGCTTCACACGGCTTTCTCTACATTAAACCAGTAAGTATTCAATATGTTTGAGATTAATTTCTCCTTAATACCTTAATACTAGCATATGTTTCTTGTAGACCTGTTCTAACTTTACCTATACATACAGATGTATTTTTCTTCATAGACACTCACAGTAGATCACCCAGCCTTTACGGAATCTGACTTGTATAATGGACAGATGGATGTCCCAAGTACGTACATGTATCGTCATTTTTATCAATTTTTATAAATAAATACTGAAAAAGAAATACACATGTACACTTAAGTGTAAGATATTCTCACAAGATCTCTCTCCAGCTTAGATCTAACGTTTTTAAACATATTGGAAAGTATCCTGAAAAAGATTCTGAAAATCAATATAAATAAAATAATTTCAAATGGTTAGATGGTACTTCATTCAAAGAATATTTTACAAAATCATGTTATGCATTAACAAAGCAAATTATATGCAAGGGTAGAACCTTCTAAAACAAAAAAATGCATAATAAATACAGTGATAAAGTTAATGTAGTAACACAGACGAACGCTATTTAGATGAAATATATCAAGGGCAAAAAAATGAAGTTAAATTAGAACGGAAGGTGTTTCAAATAAAATTGTTTTTTTCTCTAAACTCTCCTGTGGAGACAAAATTTGTATGCATTGTATTAATATTTGAATCTCAAGTAATTTCGAATTATAAGTCTGTTTTACCAAATTACATTACACTGATAACACGTGTTGGTTTCTATTTTATCTTTTATATTTAGGATTTATTATCAAGCGAAATCCGATATTAAATACAGCATGAACCATGAAGAAGTATATCCATACATGAGTTTGTAAAAAGCGCCAAAAACAAGAAAATTGTTTGAACTAGAGCATTAGCTCATTCTCCTTATTTTGTTGAACACAACACGGCAAGTTGCATGAATTTACACTTACTTGTTTGCCGCTCCAATTTTCACTACAGTTTTGCAGAAGAATTTATAAGTCAGTCAAATTTCAAAGTCAGTCAACATGGTCACATGATTCATTTTTACACCATTTGATATAACCATTCTTTTTCAGAGGTGTGGGGTGCTTGTACAAAAGCAATACACAATGGTTGTCACAAAGAAGCTTATGGTAATGGACAGGAAATACTCAACCCCGTCATGTCCGGTCTAATTTACACCCATGCAGCCATCAAATATGGCCGCGTCAATGTTCGAGTTAGAATACCCAGAGGCGACTGGTTGTGGCCAAGTAATACTTAATTTACTGCAATCTATAAGAGGCCCATAAAAATAATAACAAGTATATTGATTTTATTGAATTCAAGAAATAATTGAAACAGAAGCTCGTGAGGTCTCCCTGATTACGTTTTTAATATAAGTATTTACAGGGTAGAATTATGATTAGCCAACACACTTGAAGATGTACATAGTTTTTTTTTCATCTCTCAGCTATTTGGCTAATGCCTACAAATAGTGTGTATGGAAGCTGGCCTCGATCTGGAGAAATTGACGTCATGGAAGCTAGAGGTATAGTACAGATTTCTTGACAGTGTATCTTTTTATCCCCTCGCAACAGAGTAGGATGAGATATACTAATGCGCTTTTGTATATGTGGGTGGATGGGTTTGTTTTTCCTTTTATGCATTACGGAAGTGACGTAATTTACATCGGGATCGATCTCGAATGCTGCCTTAATTTATAGATATGGTTTTTGCGAGGGGGTCCTCCGCTTTGCGGTTTTCTGAACTTGTTTTAGAATTTAATTAATTCCTTTTAATGATTCATTTTGATAAAGTAATCAGTATTTGCAAACAACTATTGTTTATATCAAGATGTGTTTTGGAACATTCTCCTTTGTATAATTATTTCAGGCAACAGACTTATGAATACAGATACCGGACTTAACCGAGGAATTCATCAAATTGCTTCAACATTGAATTGGGGACCCGACCCTCGTCATAGTGCAGGAAGACTAACTCATAAAGCCTTGTGAATATTATATCGTCATCCTAATTGTGTCTTATCAGTCTGGTCTATTAATTGATCCTAAAGGAATATTTATGTCAAGAAATCTTAGAACACGGTCTAGCCTCGTTATTTTGAACCCTATGGGACTAATAAACTTCCGAAATATTAGATAAGATTTAAATGACATTCAGACTCATTGCTGTAGAGTCACATATCCTTTGGTTTTGACTTCTCGGTATTCAAGATACCGAAGAACAATTGAATTTCGAAAAAAAATTTAGCAGTAAGTGAAATGTTTTTAGTTTAAGTTTTTTTTAAAACAAAGATCAGGCAAATCACTATAAATCTGTGTAATTAATCTTAGACGGTTTGCCTACTGTTCCTCTGTTTTTTATCTAGGCAGTCAACTCATGGTGATTGGCATAAATGGCACGTTTTCTCACTAGAGTGGACTGAACAACACGTCATGTATGTAACTTTTTTTTTATTATTTATTTACTTATTTGCATGAGATTTTCTAAAAATAGATAAATAAAAATCAGAGTGTTAATACGTGAATCTGTTTGATTTCATTTTTTGTGTAGCTAATACAAGAACAAATGTATGATTTTATTTTATTACAAATTTATTTTACATAATAACATCCAGTTTTTCTTAAGATGCAATAATTGTCAATATCCAAATAAGGTTGTAGTGAATATGGTTTTTAAGGATATTTAACAAAGTAAACATAATATTATAGGGACATTTTTAAATGTATTATACTGAATAAATAACTGATATAGCACCAATCACAAAATATTTACATTTCCCTGTTGATTTTAATGTATTTATTCAGTTGCCTGGTTGATGACCAAGAAATACTACGTGTAAACACGCCTTCTGAAGGTTTCTGGAAGTTTGGACATTTTAATGGAACAAACATCTGGGGGACTTCTCTGAACGCTCCTTTTGATCAACCAGTAAAGTGTTCTTTCAATCTTTCACATACCAAAATTAAATCTTTAATCAACACAATTTTTATTTT